AATGTAATAAAGGATTAGGAGATAGCATTCTTATATAATTTTCTTAATTTCTGATTTTTTTATCAGCTTGAAAATAGTTACCAAATGACTATTTAAATAAATAAAAATTATTTTTATTTAAAAAGATAATATAAAAGTAAACTTAATTATCATTAAATTGACTTCCTCTTTCTTAATTTACAGGCGATAAAAATCTTTATGTATAATTTTTTTATCCTAAAAAAGGTTTAAAATTAGATACCCTATTAATTATATTTTATTATTAATAATTTTATTATTATAATTATTCTTATAATCTTTATTAATTATTAATAGAAGCAAATTCTTACTTTTATGGAGTATTAAAGTTAATAGAGTTTTTTTAATTTAGAGTTTTTTTATTTTCTTCTTATTTTTATATAGAATAAAATTTGTTTTCTTAAATTTTAACTGTTAGTGTATTTTATTATTAATTTTCAATATTTTTTGGTGTTTTTAGATTGTTTTCGATATATCTTTTAGAAAATAAATTTTAGTCTAATAAATTTTTGAATTTTGTTTGTTTATGTTAAAAATATTGATATATTTAATTTATTTATTAATCGTTAAATTATATTTCTTTTAATAGATAAGCAATATCATCTTTATCATATGTATTGTTATTGCTAATTGTTTATACTTAAAATATATATATTTTTTAAATAAATATTAATTTTTATATTTATTTTTACAATAATCGTTTAGTAAATTGACTTAAATATTTTCAAAATTATATTTATTTTAAGCAGATTTAATTAGAATCGAAATATCAATTGGATTTAATTAATCGAGATGCTTGCTTTGATGCAATTTTTCAATAATATATGCAGAATAATTAAGAATTGTAGAATAAATAATATCGTATTATAAATAAACAATAAACTCAATTTTATCAGATTAAGAATCATATTTATTTATTTCTTAAATTGACATATTTTTTAATAAAAATTAATCTTATACTTCTAAAATAAAATGATTTAAAGAAAATTCAGATTTTAATTTCTTTCCATTTATTTCTATTTAATAATAAAACGTATAAATTTAAAATTTTGCTATATTTTCAACATTGTTTAATTTTATAAATATATCTAAAGTTCCGTCAAATATTTTTTTTACTATCAATTAAAGATTAAATTATTTAAAATTAAATAATGGTGTTTCTTTGTTAATTATTTGATTAAATTTTACTAATTTCCATGATATATTTGGATGATTTTATTCTTTTTTATAAAAATAAAATAAAATAAAATATAAACAATTTTTTTTACAGCTGCAAATCTTCTAAGAAATTTATTTTTTCCGTAATTATATTAATTCAATATGATCTTTTTTATTTTTAAATATTAATAATATTTATATAAGTGAATAATAATCATGTTTATCAGCTATTTTTTACTTTAAAAATCGTTCTAAAATTTCATCAATAATTTTATCGTTTAATTTAGAAAAATTATATTGCTTTTCAATAAATTTTTCAATATTATTTGCAATAAAATGCATACAAAAATTAAGAAGACTATAATATATATCTATATTTTTTTTCTTTTCCTTTAATTTTTAATATGCATATAAAATAAAGTCTATACAATTAGAAATTGTTATAAACATAAAAATCAAGCGATTTACAACATTTTACAAATATATTTCACATTTTAATTTTTCGCTAAATTCTAAATGATTAATGACATTGTTTTAAGATAATTATGATACTATAGTTTGATCAAAATTTCCATTTTTTATAAAATTTTCAAAAAGTATAATTTATATAGGATCTGTATTAAAATTTAAAATAATTTCCTTTTTTTATTTTTTATTTTAATTATTTTAAGGTTTTTTTTCGTACAAAAAGTTTAAAATACTTTTTCTGGATTGTTTTCGCATATTTAAGTGTATAATTAAATGTTAGAAAATAACTTCTAATTAAAAATATATTTTTTATCATTTAAGATAATAAAGAATGTCATTTATTTATAAAAATTATTGATTTTTAAAAGTTAATAATTTAAAATCGAAATCAAATATATTATTTAATATGTCAAAAAAAAAATAAAAAAATATAGTATTTAATGTTTAAATTAATAAAATAATAAAAATATTATATAGAGAGAATTCATATGAATTTTTTTTAATTATTAAATAGAAAATAAAATTTAATACATTAAAAATTATATATAAAAATTTTATAGTTTCTTAAATATTTATACTTTTGATATATTTTTTTAGCCAATTTTTTTTAAAAAAAATATTTTATATATAAATAAATTCACATTAAAAATATTAATATTAAAAAATATATATTTAAATAATATATATATTACATATTTAATTTAATTAAATATAAAATTTTTATTTTATTTATTTTAATTTAACATATAAGATAAAAAAAATTATATTATATTATTATTTTAAAAATATTTAATGATTAAGATAATTTTTTTATTAGATTATATATATATATATTTATAAGTATAAAAAAAATATCTAAATTAATTAAATATAATAAATTGCTTTATTATATAAAATAAAAAAATATAAATAAATATTAATTAAATAAAAAAAAGAAGTATTATGTATTATTAGAAAAGAATAAAAAAAAAATTAATTAAATTATTAAAACAAAAAAAATTTGAACTATATACCGTACAAAAGAAATTTGTAAATATAAATTTTTATAATTTTTTTTTTTTATATATATATATATATATATATATATATATATTATATATATAATTTAATATATATATATATATATTAAAAAATAATTAATTATTTATTAATTTTCGATTTTTCAATTTATTTATTAAATAAAATGGTTTTTTTTTGTTGTCTTGGAGAAAGAAATTCAACAATTGAAGTTAATTAATAATATCATCGATCTAATAAAATAATAGCACTAGTAATAGGTGATTCTTAGGTAGGAAAAGATTGCTTAATTAGTGCTTTATGTACTAAAGGACATAGTGAAATTCCTTCTACCGATTAAAAAGAAAGATAAATAAAATTTGAAAATAAAATTATAGTATTTTAGCGATTACACAAAAGCAATCCTGATTTTTTTAAGCTAAATTTTGAAATTTATTTAAATACGGCTGATTTAGTATTGTTATGTGTAGACGTTTCAAACTTCTAAACAATTTAAAGTTTTTCTGATAATTATTTTGAAAACATTTTACAATATATTAAAAGCAAGCCTTCAAAACAGCTTCGCTGCATTTTAGTTTTATGTAAATGTGATAAGTAGTTTAGAAATAAAAATGAAGAAGATGATCTAGTATAAAAATGCAAATAATTAAATATAGAATGCATCCAAGTATCTGCAATAAAAAATATTTAAATAGATCTTCTGTTTAGCCTTCTAATTGATTATAAAAAAATAAATATAAACTAATAAACAGTATGTAACTAAATACAATCTTTATAAAATTCAAAATATATGGATGCTGTGAGTTCTTTAAGGGACGACTCAAAAATGCTAACAAATACATTAAATTTTACTGGAAAAGCAGCTGCAGGTATATCAAATTAATATTTTAAGTAAAATAATTTATCCTAAAATATAAATGAGTTAGAAGAAAGCAAAAGCAGTTTACAAGTTCTTAATAATAATAATAATAGCTTATTATATTAAAAAAAAGATATTTAATAATACATTCGTATTATTCCTCATGAAAAAATGTTTTTAAAATCCCGGTAATTAATTGATAAAGGAAATTTTGGGACAGTTTTTAAAATTTAATATGAAAATGAAATGTGTGCATTGAAAATTTGTAAAATTGAAATGAATGATGAAAGTGCAATGAGTAGATTTTAAATAATTTTTGCAGAAGCAGAAAATATGTAAAAATTTATGCTCAATAAAAGTATGAGAATTATGCCTCTTAAAGGTATATCTTTCCTTGTTGATATAGAAAAAAAAATATTTTAATTGGATATTGGATGCCCTTGTGTAAATATAGTTTGAAACATTTGATTAAGACTTAATTTAGTTCTATTACTGTAGCCTAAAAAATTAAATATTGTCTTCAAATTATTGAATGTCTTGAAATTTTCGAAAGAGAACAAATATAACATATGGATCTTAAACCTTAAAATATACTTTTAGACTAAAATGATGATATTATAGTTGCTGATCTATCTATGTCTAAAGTTTTTGAATAAAAATAAACTTAAGCTTTTAATATGCTTGGGGCTACTGCTAAATATGCGCATCCAGCGGCTATTATTAATTAAAGCTTATCACCGAGATTTGATATTTATAGTTTTGGAGTTATTGTACTTGAATTATATACTGGAAAAGCACCTTGGGAAAATCTTAAAAGAGAAGATTTAAAAGGGATATATGAATAAATTCTGAAAGATCCAATAAAAATGAATCCTATTAGATATCATTAGGAAAATTATCCATAGGAGACTAAAAATATTGAAGGAAAGTTTAGTGATATTTATGAAATTATCTATATGTGTTGTGTATAAATTTTTATCTAGGATTAAAAAAATAATATTTAATTGAAATTTATTAAAGAAAAACTTTAAAGTCTTAAAGAATAGCTAAGCATTGAATGAAATATATAATAATTTTATTAATTAAAAATAGAATAGAAAAAAAAAATCATATATTTAAAAATAATTATATTTTGTTTTTAATTTTAAAATTTAATTAATTTTCTATTTTTTTGTCCTATTTTAAGTTATTCGTATATTTTTATTATTATTATAAAAAATTTTATATTAATAAAGTACTAAATAATAAAAAAATAATTGATTACATACATTATTTAAAAATAATATAGTAACACTGGCATAATAATAATATAATATATTTTTAAAGTATTAATTATTTTTTTAATAGTTAATAATAATTTTAAAATATACATTTTAATATACTTTTTACTTGAATTTACTAAATAGTTTTATTAAATATTTTAAAATTCTCATATATATTTTTTTTTTCATTTTTAAAAAAATTATTTGAAAAATCCAACCGCTCCACTTGCTGCATTATTTACTTAGGCTGCATTTGAACTCTAAATAGTTTACTTTAATACACCTTGTGATTATAATAATTCATCACAGTCAACCATATTGAATCTTGCAATTATAGTATTTGGTTCAATATTGACAACAATACTAATTTAAAGATATTATTAAAAAACAATATATAGATATTAAAAATAATACCCTTGATTTATTATTTCATCAATAATTAAAATTAAACTTTCAAAATTTTCTAAAATTAATTCCTTGTTTACTTATTTTCTAAAAATAATAAAAAAAAATTATAAATTCAAATTTTTATATCTAAATAATAAATATTTTATTTAAAAATGTTAATATTTTATTATTTTTTGACATTAAATATTATATTTTATAAATTATATAAAAATATTTTTTTATAAAAAATACTTTGAAAAAGTATTCAAACATTCTAATATACATTACAATACTTAAGATAATAAAACTTCATTTTCTTCGAATTCTGCTAACGCATATAAATATACATCGTTTAATGTTTTAAATGCGATATTAAATCTACTATAAGAAAATATTTCAGCTATTTTTAAAAATATAAATATTTTTTTTTTTAGTATATTAACTATCATATGATTTCATTGATTTAGTATTTATAAGTTTAGTGCTTTTTTAAAAAATGTTTTTTCAAGTTATTCATAATAATTGTTAAAATTATTCTCTTTGTTATTTTACTAATCATTATTTTCAAGGTTTATATTTTAATAATATTTTGAATAAATTCTTGAACCATCGTTTCTAAGAACCAAAATTGCAAATACTTTTGATACAGATGATGATAACTATATTTTATTTAATTTATAAATTTTAGTTTAAATATATTTTACCGATAAATCTTATTATAATTTAGACATTTTATTAATTATTATTTTTTATTTTTGTTCTATAATTTTAAACTGAATATTTATACAAATAATAAAAACTTAAAATATATCTCTATTATTAAATACGTGTTTAAAAATTTTATAAGATATATTATAAATTAATTTAGAAAATAAAATAATTTCAATTAAACATTTATTTTTTTATACATATAACAATAATATTAGAAATAGGTAAAATTAAAAATAATTTTTTTCGTTCGTAATAAATATAAATAATGAACCCATAAATTTATATCCAAAATATTTTGTTAAAAATACATATTATAACAAATATATTTATAAGAAAAATGTAAATAATATTTTCAAATTAAATATTTTTTTAAGCTTAAAATAAATAGATATATGATTAAAAAAATATTATTATAAAAATTCATATAATTATAATAATAATAATTATATAAAATTTTTTTTGTTTTATTTTTTCAATACTTGGAAAAATTATTTTGCCATATTAATTTTTAATTAAATTTAGAATTTTTTTAATTATAATTAATAATAGTAATCAGATTATTAATAAATTATAATTGATTTAAAAATCTTCATAACATTAAGTTTTTATTTTTATCCAAAAGAATTATAATTTAGATTTTAAAAAATTATTATATATAATTTCATTATTTAACATAATACTATGTAATTATTTTATTTATAGTAGACGAATTTTATTGCATAAAATAAGATAAAAATATATTTATGAATAAGAAATAAAGAAAAATTTAAAAACTTAAAATTATTTACTTATTGACTAACCAATATTATTTTTACTTTTAAATTATTCTTAATGGTATATTATTATAAGTTTATTTTAAGAACATGCATATTAAAATATTAGTTTTATTTGCCTATAATTAAAAGTATTTATTATATATTTTAATCAAAATATAAATTAAATTATTTATGATAAGAAATTACTAATATTTAACATTAATATAAAACAATATTTTAATAAGTATTTTTATTTTTTATATCACAATTTTATTTTAATTTTTAATTAATTTATTTATTCTTATTGAAGATAATTAAAATTTTGCTAATTTTTAATATTTTTAGGAAAATAAAAATAATATAAATTAAAAAATAAATAAATATTTCAATTTTGTCAACAAATATTAAAATTATTTTTAAATAATTATTATATATATATATATAATATTTTTTTCCTCCTTAATATTTTAATTTTATTTTTTTCCCTTCTTTTTAAATAACTCTTAAACAATACTAACTAAAAATTAATTATTATGTCACTTATTTTAAAAAGGCCAAGATAATTAGATTATCAAAGATTAGCTACAAGAATAAATAATTTAGAAGAATTTATAAATTTTGAAATAGATAATGCATGTAATATAAGTAATAATTAAAATTAACAAAATGAAACCTAATAAAATTAAGCAGAAACGCAAAAAAAATAAGAAATACCAATTATAGCAATTACTAAAATTGAAGTAAACTCTTAATAAGGATATGATTAAAATTAAAAAAAAAAAATAATACCCAATCAAATTATATAAGAATTAAATAAGATTAATATTGCCAAATTTAAAATAAGTATGAGTGTACTGATGGCGATTTAATATTTATTAATGATTTTAATCAATAATATTAATAAAATTTAAAATAATAAGAATTCGAATAATTAATAGTAGAGTTTGAAATAAATTCCGGAAAAGATTAGATTTTGCTTTGGATTGACATGAAGTTGCTAATAAGTAAAGAAATGAAAGATCGTTTTTCTTATTAAAATATAGAATATATTTATAATTACTGGAAATCTGAACGAGAATAAATAAAAAAACCCTTAATAAGGTATATAAATTTATAATATAATTTATTTAATAATTTTTAGAGTTAATTGGAAACCTAATTTTAATGATAAAGATCCTCATGTTGCTTTTAGACCTAGAGTTGCAGAGAAAATGAAATTGAGAAAATAATAAAAATAAAATAATGAAGAGTAATTTATTAGATTTATATAATTAAAAGAAGAAATGCAAAAATACAAAGCTTTAGTATAATTTATGAATCTTAGGGAATAGTTTAAATATAATATTTTTAAATAAAGTTGCTTTGAATTTTTTATAGAATCGAATAAAATTGAAAAAAACATTTGTTTATCTTTTAATAATTTTTTTTTTGATAATATAAAAGAATTTGAAAAATAAAATAAAGTTTTAGATGAAGAATCAAACCAACTAATTATGTAAATAGACTAATTACAGAATGAATTCAATATCTATGTCTAAAACAAAGAGCAAAAAGTAAAAAAAAGCAATAGGCCAGATAGTAATAAAAAAATATATAAAAAATATTTATTTTAAATTTTTTAATTTAAAGAACTTAATATAAGAAGCTTTAGAAGAACATTTCATTAAAAAATTTAATAAAATTATTAATTATAAAATGATTAATAATACAGTAATATTAGTAAAATTTATAATTAAAAAGACTAGTCAGAAATTTTAAAAACTAATGAATCTCCTACAAAAGATAAACTAAAGAAACTACATTAAAAATAAAAGATAAAAGAAAAGAAAATAGAAGAAAAAATGCAATATAAAAATACCTCAATAGAAATCGGATAAAATGAAAGCATTATATTAAAGTTATAACCTAGCATAATATAGAAAATTAAACCAATAAAAAAATAAAAATATAGTAAGATAAATAACGTGAAGATATTAACGAATTTAAAGAAATTAGTTAAAGACAAACATTAAAATAAGAATAATTATAGATTGCAGAAAAAGAAAGACAAGAATAACTTAAATATTAATAGAAACAAAATCAATAATAAATAAAATAATAATAAGTTTAGTAATAAACGTAATAGTAATAATTATAATAATAGTAAATCAAATAATAATAAACATAATAATAATTATAACAATAATTACAATAACAATAGTAATTATTTTAATAATAACAATAATAATAAACTTATAGCACAGATAATTCAGAATTAACTTCCTTTATAGTAAACTTATTTATAGATGTTAATCAAACTTAAATTAAGATGGAGAATGTTTTTAATTTAGATACAAATTTTCTTACAAGTAATACTTCCTATAATAAAATAGTTTCTAATCAAAAAAATGAACTAGCATAATAATTATTAAAAAAACAATAATTCAGTTAAGAATAATTTTCAAATTTTAAAAATTAAACTGTAAAAAATAATAATTAAATACAACCTCCTTAAATAAATAATAATATTGAATTTAGTAATTAATTAAATTTAAATCAACTTGTTAAATAAAAAATGCCTCTTAATAATATAATTGCATTTAAGGTTAGAATAAGAAAAGGAAGATCTTAATTAGATTTTATTGATAGACTTTTTGATGATAATGAAATAAACAGATATGAAGATAAAGTTAATTAGGAAGCAAATTATAATATAAATAAAATTATAGATAAAAAAATATAAATAGAGAAAGTTCAAAAAGAAATGGATGATAATAGAATTAAAAAATAAAAAATTTATTCATATAACTAATTAGATAAAAATGTTTATTAGAAAAATTATTTCTAATCAAAAAATGAAAAGTATAAAAAATATGCTAAAAGTTTTGATGATTATGAAGACTTAAGTAATACTGTTGTTATATGTAATTCTAGTAATAATTTTTAAAATTAATCAGATGATTATTCATAAAACAATATTTTAGAATAAGAAATAAAATCCTTGAAAAGAAATATTGGAACTGCATTTAAAGATTATGTGAAAAAAAAAAATCATGTTTAGTGATATTTCTTTTTTTAAATTAATTTATATAATGAATATAAAATATATTTAATAAAATTTGTTAAAAAATTATTATGAACTAGAAATAATACAATTTTATTAAATAATAATCCAATATACTAAGTATCAAATAGATTACGCTAAATTTTTTTAAGAAATCTATATTTTATAATTTTTAAATAAAATATTACTTTGTTTATACTTTTTTTTTTAATCTATTTTGTATTTTAATTATATATCTATTATATTGAGTATTTTAATTCTATTTAGAGTCATGTTTATTAATTAATTTTTTATTTTAGGGGCGATTTCTTTATTTTTATAAATAAAATTAAGCAGATAAAGTCTAATTTTTATAATTTATTTTTATTTCAGTTTGAATATTTATTTAGCAATAAAGATTAAAAATATATAATAAAATTAATTTGAAGTTATAAAAAATATTTAAGATACAAATAATTGAATTTTATTTAATTTTTTAGATTTATATTAAATAATTAATAATTATTTTTTATAATTATAAATTCATTTTTAATATTTGGTATATTTAATTTTAAATTAATTTTTTATCAAGAAAAATATTTTTTATTACAAATTAAAAAAAATGTATAATTAATATATAAGAACAAGAAAAGATCATGTTTTAAATTAAGAACCCTAAAAATTAAAAAGGACATTTTGTGAAATTTGTAAAAGATATTTTAAATATTTAAAACTCCCACATAATTGCAAAAGATGCTTTAGAACTATATGCGAAGATTGTGGGCCATAAAACATTATTGTATTTGTTATTATATAAAAATATAAATTTTATTTTATTTTAAGATATAAGGATATTTTTATGAACCTGATAAACCGCATAGAGTTTGCAATATATGTATGAATGAAAGATAGTCGTTATCATTAATAATTGTTAAAGTATGCTTTTACTTTTTTTAATTAAATAAATTAATTTGTTTTTATAAAAGTTTAACTTATAATGGTGTTAACAAAGTGAAATTTCTAAAAATTGGATGAGGCTTTTATTTTAATAGTATTTAAATTTAATTCATATATTTTTATTTAAATATAAAACTAAACTAAAGAAATATAAAGGAACTTGAAACAGAATACAGATAGTTAAAAATAGATATAGAACTAAATTAGTTTTTTTAAGTTAATCGATAGAAGTTTAATAACTTTTAAAAGATTTATAAGAAAACCATGGAAACATTGTTAGATATAATTATTCCTTTTATGATATGGTTGGATCTTTGTAATAAAATTTTGATTAATAATAAGTTAGTAAACAAATTTATAATATCTTAGTTAGATTTATATACAGAAATTAAGATATTGGCTATTAAAAGGAGTATATAAAGATTGTTTTATTTTTACTTTGCTTTTGTAATGAATACGAAGCTTTTAATATATTCCAGTATATTCAAAAAAAAATAATTCCAACTCCTTTACATCCTAATCAATTAAAAATATCATCTAAAAGTCTTTAAGATGAAATATAATTCCTCTTAACTGATTTTTAAAAATAAGTTTCTAATGAATAGCATATTCTTAAAGTAAAGTAATTTTTAGAGTTTAATTTTTTTAATTATTATATGAACTTATTTGTCAATTAATTAAATTTTGTAGTATGTTAATATATATTAAATGAATTAATATAAGAAAATGACGTAAAATATAAATATAAATTTTATTTTTTTAATAAAAAATAAAATTAAAGTTCAAAGTTATAGAAAAATATATTCTAACAATATGTTTACTCAATATAAATAATATGACAAAATACGGAATTAATGATTAATTAAATGAAGTTATTTTAAGAGAAACATATTCCTATGACTTATTAAAAAAATTCAATGAAAAGAATTTTAAAAACTATTAATATTCAGTAAATTATTTATCAAAGTAAATTATTTTTTTATGATTTAAAATGAAAATATATTTTCATATCATAAAGTTCAAATGCATCGTAAATAGTTTAAGAAACAAATGAAAATTAATTTTAAACTGCACTATAATTAAGCTTAGAAGAAGAAAATAATAGACTATTGTAAGAAATACAAGTAATGCAAAGTGAAATTTAAAAATTTTAAAATGAGCATGAAATGAATACTCTATAAATTCAAATTCTTAAATCAGATTTAGAAAAAGCGAACTAATTTTAGAAATAAAATGAAGAATTAATGTCAAAGTTATAATTCTCTGAAAATTAAATAGGCTAATTTTAATTTGTAATACAATAAAAAGAAATAGAGTTTAACTAAAAAAAGTAAGAATTAGAAAAATTATAAATCTAAATTTAAGAAAATTCAAGACTCTATTATTAAAATGAATAAAAATTGAAAAACCAAGCAAATCTTAGTATTTAAAATCTTAAAAAAGAAATTCAAGAATATAAATAAAAATACGACTCTTTGTTAAATGCTTCACAAATATAATAAAAAAAACAATAAATTCCTCAAAATAATAGACAATAAATAGCTGAATTTACTTCCACAATTACTGCAAATTAATAAGAAATAAAAGAAGCAATTACACTAGAAAATTCAAAAGGAAATGTTTAGGTTAATGAATTTGAGTCTTTTTATTCTTAATCATAGAAATACTTAAATATAGGGAACAATTAGAGTACTGTAGAATAGCTAAGATAAAAAATAAACTAATTGGAAAATGAAATAAAAGATTTAAAAAATTAAAATAATTAAAATATTTAATAATAAAAAAATTAAAGTAATATAGAAAAAGCAAAATAAATAATCTCATAATAAAATAAATAAATTTTATAGTTAGAAAAAAATGATAATGAATTAAGATTATAATTAAAATAAAAAGAAGAAATTATAAAAAAATAAGAAGATAAATTTAAAGAAGATAAGAATAAAAAATAATAACTTAATGACTAAGAGTTTTAATAATAATTAGATATAATAAATGATAAGGAAAAAAAATTTAAAAAAGAGAAAATGATATTTAAGAATAAATAAAAAACTTTAATATTAAGATTAATGAATATTAAAATTAAAAAATATAATATATGGAAATCGAAGAAAAATTTAAAAAGGAAAAAGAATTTTTTGAAAATAAAATACAAAACTAAGATTCGTAATTAAAAAGCTTAAATATAAAAATAGAAGAATCAAAATAAAATAAGCAAAAAGCTTAAGCTGAATTAGAAATAGAAAAAATAAAAACTATAAAACTAGAAATTTTAATTTCCGAAAAAGAAGATTTAATTGCTCAAAATTAATAATAAATAATAGTTTTGACATAAGAAAATAATTCAAAAGAAGTGGAGATTCAAAATTTGAAAAAAAAAATATACGAAAATGAATAATAAAACATTTTAGTTTTAAAATAATACTTATAAGATTTTGAAAATAAATAACTTAATAATTAAAATATAGAATAATAATAATAATTTATTGAAACAAAGTAACAAATCTAAGATTTAAATCGTTTAAAGGAGGAAATTTTAGCCAAAGAAAATTATATTAAAAACAGAGAAGAAATTTTATTTAAAAAAGAATAATAATTGTAATAATAAGAATCTTTTTTGGCCTTAAAAGAAAAGGAAAATAATCAAAAGATGATTGAGTTTGAAACTAATTCAAAAAAATATTAGAATAATAATAAGAATTTTAAAATTAAAATAAAAAAAGTAATAATAAATAGAATTTTAGGAATAAAATTTGATTTCCAGAATATAATAAAGAGAAGATGATTTAATAAAATTAGAAGAATAATTAAAAAACCAAAAGTTTATATTTGAATAAGAAATGATAAAAGAAAAAGCTTAAGCGCAATAAAATGTGATAAATATATAATAGCTTTAATAGGAAATCGAAACAGAAAAAGAAGAATTAAAAAAGCAATACTAAACTTTAAGTTTAGAAACAGATGATTTTTTTTAAAAAAATAGCTTTTTTTATAAGAAAATATAGAATAAAAAAACAAATACTTTTAGAAAGAGAAAAAGAATAAAAAGAAACATAATAAAAAAACGAAAAATTAAAATAATAAAAAGCTTTTCAAGAAGATGAATTTAAAAAAAAGGAAGCATAACTAAATGAACTTTAATAAATTATTAAATAATAATAAGAAAAAATTAATTTAGATTTTGGAAATCTAGAAAAAATAAAAGAAGGGTTAAAAAAATAAAAGGAGGAGTTAAACACATAAATTTAAAAATTGTCTTTTTAAGAATAAACTAATTAAATTTAAGCTTAAGAATTAAACAAAAAAAATTAAATTTTGTTATAAAAATCTGCAGATTTAGAATAAAAAGAAAAAATTTTAAATGAAAAAAAAGAAAAATATAAAAAAATAAAAAAATAATAATAATTGAAATAATAAGAAATCGAATTTTCAGAAGCTAAAATTTAATAATAAAATTAAGAACTTTGCCAGAAAATTTAATAAATTTAAAATGAAAAAGAAATTTTCTAATAAGAAAAAAATTCTTAAAAAAAAATAATTCAATAAGAACAAGAAAATGCACAAAACTAATTAAAAATAATGCTTAATTAATAAATTTAGGAAATTCAATAAAATAATGAATAAAAAAGTCAATAGGATAGTAACATTAATATAGATAATTAATATTACGATTATTATAATAAATTAGGAAAGTCATTTATTTAAATGAAAAATGAAAATGATTAAAACTTTGTTCTAATTAAATAAGCTTTGGAATTATTGAAAGATTGATGTCTTTTTATTAAAAAGAAATATATAAAATTAAGATAATAAATAATTTATTTTAAAAAAATAATTAATATTTCTAATATTTAATTTTTATTTATTTTTAAACAAAAAATATTATTTTTAAAATTATTTTGTTTTTAATATATTATAAAAACATATCTTTATAGAATAAATATAAAAATAAAAATATGTAAATATTAAAATTAATTAAATAAATTATACTTTTTTAATCTTAAATTATATAATATTTTTAATTTTGTGCTTTTTTAGGAAAATTTTTTTTTCGTTTATTTCTTTTTTAATAAGCATTATATTAATAGGAATGAATGTTTCATTTTAAGAGTTAAATAATAAGCTTTTATCAAACTTAATAATTTTCATTTAATCATATAATATTTTTTTTATAATATCATCTTAAATAATATTATTTTTATAATTTTTTAACTAAAAATATTGAATTTATTTATTTTATTAATTATTTTTTTATATTTTATACTAAATATTTTATTATTCAAGTATATTTATGCCAATGTTAGAAAAAATACTACTTTAAATAATAGATAATACATATTTACTTTATTATTAGAAAAATATCTACTTTTAGCATAATTAGTATTATAATAATTAACATTTTATTTAATTTTGTTTTTAATATTTTTATTATGACTTTATTATCATTAAAGTATAGTTTTATTATTATTAAATTATTTATTTTGTTATAAAATATAATTAAATTTATTTACTGTTATAGTTTATTTCTTTTATTTAATATTTTTTTTTTATTTATGATAAATTTGAATTTATTACACTTAATACTATCTTCATAAAAGTTATTTGATTATTATACATTTATTATATATACATATTTAATTTTTAATAAACTCTTTATATTTGGTTTTTAATAGTAATTTAGATTATAAAATATAAAATTAATTATTTATTGACACTTTTTAACAAATTATTTGTGAATAAAATAATCCTTTATTATTTAATAACTAAAGTGAAAAAAAAATGTTACTTTATTTTATTTGTATTTTTTAAATTATTTTTAATTTATGCATACGTTTTTTATATTTCAAGAAATATTAATTTAATATTATTATTTAATTTTAATTTATTTTTTTGGTATTTATTATAAAAAAATACAAAAATATTTTTATTATATCAAAATTAACTAAGAATATATTAATGAAAGGCATATATGGTATAGGAACAGACATTGTAAAAAATATCAGAATTTAAAGAATAATATAAGCATCTATTAAATAGAGATTTTTAAATAAAGTACTGCATTAAATTGAAATAGATGAATTTAATAATAAAACAGATATTTAGATGTAAGTAAGATATCTAGCCTCAAGGTATTTAGTTTATTAAAAATGTTAATATTATTTTAAACTAAAATATAGATGGGCATATAAAGAATCTTTAGTAAAAGCAAGTGGAAGAAAAGATTTAATATTTAACCATATATATCTAGAAAAAGATAATGAAAGGCCAATTGTTAAATTAATTGATACAAATTATAAAATTATATACCAAGAAATGTAAATTAAAGATATTTAAGTTTCAATATCTCATGAAGAAGATTATTCAATAGCTTTTGTAGTTTTAACTTATTGAATTAAAAAAAATATATGACTATTTTAATATATTTAATTTGAATGTATTTCTTAATAGACAAGCCTTATATAATATTTTTATTAATGTTAAAATTTATCAAGAATTTTATTAATTTATTTATATTCAAAATACTTAGTTATGCTTTATATGTAAATATGTAAATAATAAGAAAAATAAACTATTTAAAAAAATTAAACAGGGAATAATTGATTTTATAAATATATATAAAAAACTCATAATTGAAGTTTCTTAATCACTGTTTACAATTTTTTTAAAACATAACAAAATCGCATTTGTACCACTTCTATATTATTAATTTATATTATTACTACTTTACATATCTATAATCGATTTCAGTTTTAACTTTTTCAATATTTTTATAGATATCTATTTTTAAAATATTTGCTATATTAGAAAATTGCTAGTTTTTTTTTATTTTTATAAATTCATTACATTAAAAGTGATTTGTTATATAAAAATATTTATTCTTTAATTCATTTTAGATGTGCTAATCTTTATATTAATAAATATATAATATAATTAAACTATATGGATTATATTTAAATACTTTTTATATCACATAACTTACTAAATATTAATTATTTAATTACCCTAATTACAGGAACAAATTTTATTTTGTGTTTTTTTGCAATTTATATTTAATTATTTTTTATTTAGTCATTATAATTTAAATAAATTCTATATAATAATCTAATTTTATAAGACTAAAATAAATACTATAACTTTAAAATAATAGTTTTATAATAAAATTAAAATATATTTTTAATAGTAAATTAAATATCAAAAATTTATAAATAAATTTATTCTTATTTTAAAGTAAATATATAAAGTTAAATTCTAGATCAAATACAAAATTTTAAATAAAAAAAAAATTAATTTATACTATTATCAACATTACATAGGAAATATTGATAAGTTACATATTATATTATATTATATTATATTATTATATTATATAAGATAATTCAATGTAAAGTCTAAGGTTAAAATAAATCAAAAGTAATATTCTTTAAATCACTAGAAACAACTTTGATATTCTTTCCTTAAAATAAAAATTAAACATTAAATTATAAACCTTCTGTAAAATCTACTTATTTTTTAAGTTAAATTAACTAATCAATGCATAATTTTTCATCATTAGAAATATTTTTTTCATCTCCCAATTGATTAATTTTCTCAACAAAATTTTATAATATATATTTATTGTTTAAATTTGAAACATCATTTTGAAGCTCTGAAATTGAATGAACATATTTTTTTTAAAATTCTCCTTCGAAAAATCCCGAAGAATTTTTATTTTATTTTCCCATTACATATTCTTCGCTTGAAATTTCCTAAAAATTTTCACAAGAAAAGGCAACCATAATATTTAAAAAGAAATAATTCGCAATAAAAATAAACCCAATAAATATTATTGGAGTCCAATATTTATTCTCTTCAAGTAAAGTTTTAATTATTTTGTTACACCAATCATCCAAAGTTAAAATTTAAACAAATGTATATAAGCTATTACTTAGATTTGTCCAATAATCATGAATGTCTCTCAAATTACTTAAAGCCCACATAGATATTACACAAATTATACTCACCAATCCTAAAAAAGCAGGGAAAAGTATAGGAAATACCACAATTGCACCCATAATGGTATTTCTAGTTATTGTAAATATTTTAAAAAGTTTCATAATTCCACCTATTCCTATACTTCCATTAATTGAGAGTGTTATGATGTCAAAAAGAAGAGATACTGGACCACTTATTATATGTATAAATATCATCCAATAATGCTTTTTTTCTAATTAAAACAGATGACTTTCAAAATAATAAATAGAACCAGTATGAATCGTATAAATTAGGCTTATTAAAATGTGTACTACAATTCCAAAAACAGAATTTATAGATGATACTTAATTATTTAATATAGAAATTAAAATAATAAAAAAATAAGAAACAGTTAATATTCTTTAATAATAAAACCCAAAGCATAAGTTGTCGTAAATAAGTTTATTTTCTTAATTGCTGTTATCTTTATTATCTAATTATTATTAATTATTTAAATGTATTTATATTTATTAATCATTCTTATCAAAATCATTTTAAATATTATTATTTTCGTATAAATTAATTTATTATTATTATTAGTTATTATTTTAATTTTATTAAATTTACTATTAATTAAACTATTCTATATTTTCTTATTGATTATTCTAATATGCATCTTCTTATTAATTATCGCATTATTAGTAAATTTATATCTTGCTATTTTAATTGATGTCTTCTTCTTTTTATTTATTGCAATTATTAATTTATTAATTCAATTGGTTATCATTTGTTTCCTCTATTTTTCTTAAAACTTCTAATATATTACCAATAATAATATTCATGAAGAAATAAGACATTATAAAAACATAAAAAATTAAATAAAAAGCAGCGAAAACATTCATTTCTTTTAAAATTTCTCTTCCTATCTATCCCCAACCATCAAGGGTAAGAATTTAAAGCATTGTAAGGAAACTAAATCCAATATTATTAAAATAAAGCTTATCTTAAAAAAGGTCTCCGTATAAATAATTACTAACATAAGTGAAGAAATAAAAAAGGCAAAATAAACACATAAACATATCCTTTACTTATGGAATAATAATTTTTAATTTCGCAAATAAGTTTCTAGATTCTAATAAGCTCAAACATTTTAATGTCCTAAATATTACACTAAAAATATTTAGTTTTTAATATATAATAAGGCTTGATATATCAAGTAAAAAAGATAAAGGGCCACAAATAAAATCAAGGCCAAAATATATGAAAGAATATAATGGAACTTTATTCTTATAGTGAAAATATAAATCATGTGTAAATATTAAAGAAATCGTTAATTCCATAAAAACTCCAAAAATATAAAATATTATTTAACTTTCTTAAGATATTTAAAGAGTTACATGCAAAGAATTCCATTATATTATTATTAGAATAAACCAAGTTAAAAGCATTAATTAGTTATTATTTTATAAATAAAAATTTTTAAATTTAGTTTAATTAAATATACTAAATAATTATATTTTTTCTTGATTTTCCTCAATCATTTTTTTTAATGAATAGTTTAATTTATATGTAATATTTATTATTTTTATTTTAAAATAAAATATAAGAAAAAAAAATTATTAATAAAATTAAAATGACAAAATTTAATTATAAAAATAAATAAATAATAAAGTAATTAATTATTCAAGTATAAATTCTACTTATATTTTATGAAAAAAAATTAATATTTACATTATATCAATTTTTCTTTTCTTTTTGATGTTTATACTCTACTTTATTTTTATGATTTAATTTAAAAATAAAAACTAAAAAAAGTGTTTTTATAAAATCTTACAAGATTAATATTAGAAATTAATCAAGAGGTAAACAATAAAATTATATTATTTAAATAATTAATGAAATTTGTAAAAAATACACAATAGTAAGTAATCTTTTTCGTTAGTCATATCTTATTTTTACTTTAATCTCAAATTTTTAAAATTTATAATTTTATATTATTATTTAATAAATGCAGTTATAATAGGTTTAAAATAATTATTTTCTTGATTTTGTTTCTTATAATTAAAAATATAAAATTATTAATTATTTTAAGAGTTAATATAAAAAGAAAAAAAATGTTTAAATAAATAAATAAATATTTAACCTTTTTATTTATTTTTTTTACAACAAAGATTAAAGTTCTTGAGTTAATAGTTAGTATTAATAAAAATTATAAATGTTATTTTTAGCAATATGCATTTAAATTATATATTTAATAGATGCAATTAATATAAAAAGAAAACTATATAATAAAATATTTCATAATAAAAAATCAATTTAATAAAAGACTAAAAATTAATAACTCAATTTATAAAATGAATCAAAATAAAATTTTAATTATAAAATAAAATAATTTATAAATTAAAAATTTTTGTTAAAATATAATATAATTAATAAAATAAATATTGTATTGATAATTTTTTTATTTTATAAATAAATAATTTTATATTAAAAAATATAATTAAAATATTTATATTTATTTTAAATTAAATAAAAAAATAATAGATTTTATTTAAAATGTTTTAAATTACAAAAATGAAAATAAATATAAAGATATAATTACAATAATAATAAAATTATATATAAATAAATATAATAAATATTTTTTTTTAATATAATATATAATATTTTTTTTATATGGAAAATTTGTAATATTGAATATCATTGTTTTCTTATTTCTTTTCCTAAATTAATTCCTATTTATTAATATATTTTGTTAACAAAAATTAATTTTTACCATTTATTTAAGTATTAATTTCTTGAAAAATTAAATCTTCTTCATCATCTTCATTTAATATTCTTTTTAAAGTTTTCTTTTCTTATTCATTTAGTTACGTAATTTAGTTTATTGATTATAAATTTAAATTATTAACTTTATCTTCTGAATATCCTAAGTTTTATAATATATTTAAAATTTATTTTTAATTTTAAAATTAAAGTTATTAAAATAAAAAAGGTTTATTAAAGTTTTTTTTTAAAAATTATCTTAAATTATATTTAAATTATTGAAATATTTGTCATTAAAATTTATATATTATTAATTTGGTTATTCATAATTAAAATATTTTAAAGGTAATTATTAATCCTTGTTATATAAATAACATTAACTACTATTTTAACATAATTATAAATTATTTTAAATATCGAAATTATTAAATAGTTATTATTAAAAAAAATTGTTGTTTTTAAAATACTGATTAGAAAGATAATCTTTATTTCCATTTATTGTTAAAAATTATCCATTTTGATAATAATTATTATTTAGTATTCCAGAAAAATTAGAATAATTATCATTTAAATCTATAATATATATATATATATATATATATATATAAATATATAAATATTATAAAATTTTATTTTTACTTTATTAGTTAATATAATAATAATTATTATTATCA